CTGACCTGCTAAAAGGAGGCCTCACACACTGCCCGGGGTTCTGGGGACTCTCGCTCATGTGGCCCGCCACCAGTCTGGACTGTGCAGCCCTCCCTCCCTGACCTGAACTCTTTTTTTGCTCTGGATAAAGTAATTTTGCTTCTTCTATAAAAAGAAACAAAACAAAACAAAAAAGAAAGAAAGAAAGAGGGACAATGGGCCACATGGGTGAGCAAGTATGTTATAAGCACAGGCCATGAGGGTCTCAGTTCCCATTTTTCAAATACTGTGCTCACAAATTTAAGCTGAAAAACAAACAAACAAAAAACCCAAACCTAAAATAGAGTACTTTTAAAACTGTGTATATATTTACGGTGTACTACATGTTTTGAGCCACCGTGGATTGGCTAAATCACGCCCCACCTCACACATTTACTTTTTTATGGTGAGACCTCAGTCTATTCTTTCAGCAGTTTTCAAGTATGAAACATTGTTATTGGGCTGGCAAGATGGCTCAGCTGGTTAAAGTGCTTGCTGCCAAGCCTGACAGTCTTGTTCCATCCCCAGGACATGCAGGACAGAGAAGTCACTCCTATAAGGTGTTCCCTGACCTCCACACAACCCATGGACACACACATGAAACAAACTACCTCAAGTAATGATGTTAGCTAGTTACTGTATCTTACAAAATTTCCACATGAACCATGAATTACCTTTACAACCAGAAAAGGGGCACCTAAACCAGCCACAACAACAACAAAGGAACTCACAACAAGCTTACAGTGGTGATGTGCACAGCAGTCCTGGTCGAGTCATCAACATGCCAGGTACAGTTCAGGTTCCTAATCACAATGCCGGTGTATTACAGACAGACGTGGAAGGAAAGCCTGGGCATTGCATCATCCTAGCTGCGGAGTATGAGAGAGTGCAGTGGGCTAGACTCACTGACAGACACTACAGAAAAAAGAGCCCTCATCTTCTGAGGAAAAGAGACCCTGAAAAGTTAACTGAGCTGCCATGACCCGTTTCTAGCCTCCTATGTTTTGACAGCTAATCCGTAATTGTTTTGTCCCCTATTTCCTGTAAATGACAACATAACCAAAAAGCAGACACCCTTCCACGTCACTGCCAATACTCCTTGGAGGAAGACGGTCGCTCCTGCCTCAGAGTGCCTGTAACACAGTGCCTACGCCAGCTGTTTCCCCTGCCTGGAGGGTTCTTTCCTCTGTTGTGGATAGCGCTGGCTCTCTCCAGTCTTCAAGTCTCAGCTTAAGCCAGCCCACCTTGTACAGGTCTACCCACATCAAAGAACCTGAAGCAGACCCGTGGTCAGTCTCCACCCAACCCAACACCTATTTAGGTATGGATTTTACCTGTTTACCTCTTATCACCATCTCAAACCATCTGCAGTTCATTTCTTCCTTATACTCCCTCCCCTCCCTTGATGGAACACTCAAGAGGAAACTCAGATCTATTTTATTTACTAAATGCCTTGTGCCTGAAATAGCACCAAGTCAAGTGGGTAATCCAAACATCCATCTGGTTCAGTAGGTGGGCATGCAGTGTATGATTATTCCACTCTACAATCTGAGGGAAAATCTACGGACATTCCACGTTACCAGCAATCTTCAAATGCAAGCACACAAACATGAATGTCATTAATAGCAGGAAAAATCAAACAGGTTGAGTCTGAACTGGCTTTTCAGAGCAGTGAGGGAAACTCTTTCCCAGATCAAATCTCTTTCTATAACCCCACCACCACGTTTAAAGTTCTGCTGTTTTACTTTAAAAAAAAAAATCATTTTAGTTGTGTGTGTGTGTGTGTGTGTGTGTGTGTGTGTGTGTGTGTTTGTGTGTGTGTGTATGCACTCTAGTGCAGGTGCCTGCTGAAGCCAAAAGCATTGTATTCCCTGGACTTGATATATAGGTGGGTGTGAGTCACCTGATGTAGGTACTAAACACTGAAATCAGGTTCTCCCTTGATAAGAGCAACAAAAGCTCTTAATTGCTAAGTCATCTCCTATAAACATAATAAATAAAACAATAAACAAAAGTAGTACAGATGGAAAGTGACAAGGGAAGAGACCTGAGGCCAATCATTGGCCTTCACCACACGCAGGTGAATTGTGAATACACCTGTACACACACACACACAAACACACACGTTTTCCTTCCCCCTAAAATAAGCTAACAGGAAGAGACATTCACCTAACAGCCTAGTAATATATGTAAAACACTCACTACCCAGTGGTAATTACCATTATACTTGCTGACAATAATTGATCAACCCAGTTGATAAATATTACTATACTTGGGGGCATCTTTCTAGTCCTTTTCTCTCCCATGAAGTTTTCTGTAATTCTGTCACATATACTGGAATTCAGCACAGTCATTACTATGATCATACAGAAGCATAGCTATGTTTCACTAGACATCAGTAGGAAAGGCAGACCTAATGAGAACAAGGCACAGGGTGTGAGGATGAACCACACAGGACTCTGGGACCAGCTGGGTGGGCTAAGTCTCTAATCCCAGTACCCACAGGGTTGAGGCAGGAGGATATCAAGTTCAAGACCAGTCTGCATCACACAGTGAACTTGAGCAAAGCCTAACCTACATTGTATGACATGGTTAAACAAAGAAATAAATAACAACACAACTCCATGAAGTTGCACAATAACGTGAATGCACGTAATAGCAGGAACTGTAAATGTAAAGTGGCAAAAATCAGAAATTTCATCTCATCCATATTTTATCATGAGAATATTAAATATAAAACATTTTAGGGAATCAAGATGTGGTCTACTTTGTGCCCTGAGCACTCAGACTATGTGCAACCTTTCTAGTTTCTGACTCTGTCAGTGTCATGGGCCACAAGAATATGAAATAAGAGTCCAGCTGTATATAATAAGCTATACCTTGATCGACCAAGCAGTCCTTCAAGAGGGAAGCCATTTATCATGGAATATTTGGTGTTATTCAGCTTTCAATATATATCAGGTCATATGGCAAACAGTTTAGCTTCTCAGACCTACTACTGATCCACTAGGTAACTAATACCCCTGCAGGGCCTAGGAGACAGGCGGGCTGTAGATGCATAGCTTCGTTTCTTGTGCAAATGAAGCTCAGACCACCCCTTGCCTTCAGGCCTAGTACACCCCCCCCACCCCCCCCAGCCCCCCACCCCGCCCCAGAGCTATTGCCTCAGGACAATAGGGCTTTTGGCATAACCAGGTGCAGTAAAGACTAGAGCAGAATTCCTGGTCAGAGCAGAGTGGCATGGCTGGGGGGGAGAAGAGAACAAGGCAGAGTTTCTGTAGATGGTAAGGCAGGCTGGCTCAGGCCGAGGAGTAAGGAGAGGGAGGAAAGATGGAGGATGAAGGAACAGGGGACGAAGAGGAGATCAAAAACATAAGGGCTTAGTTACTATTAGACTATGAGAGGACAGAAAAAGAAGGGACAGAGAGAAACTGAGTGTCAGGACGGAACTGAAGCTATGTAGACAGAATTTTGTCTTAGAGAAATAAAGGACAAAAGAGCATGGTGTACATAGATTATTTTCCCTCAGATGACCAACCCCCCCCCCCCCCCCCCCCAGGAATTTCTCTCTTTAGTCCTGGACTGGATAAGAAAGAAGTGTCTTCCCCAGGAATCTGGGAAAGATTTTCTCAGGGCAGGCCCCTGGGAAAGTTCTGATAAGTCAGCACTGGAAATGAAGGCAGTGGGCAGGTGCCCTATCGTGTGATAGTACCTGCAAGCTAGTGAGCACAGAGCCCCAAGAAGGGGCTCATGTGTCCCAAACTAAAAGTGTGAGTGAAGGAAGGGCCTCATTAGTGGTCTCTCTGGAAAAGGAAGATGGCAGGTCGAAGTCTGATGGCTCAAACGGTGGCATTCAGAGCCAGCCATGACAGCTCAGGGGACTTTGTTCATTAGTGGACCTGCAGACTCATGACTTCACAAGCCACATGCAGGTTGAAATCCCAGTATGTTTTTGCTTTGTTTGAGACACGGACTGTACTGGTTAGGATTCTGTCAACTTGACTAAGCACCAGCCATCTGGGAGGAGTGAACCTCAACTGAGAAAGGTCTCAATCAGACTGGCCTACAGGCAGGGTTGTGGGGAACCTTCTTGATCAATGAATGATGTGGAGGGCACAGCCCACTGTGGGTAGTGCCATCCCCGGGCAGGTGGTCCTGTGTAGTGGTATTTGCTCTGCCCATGACCTCGGGCTGTAAGGCCCGAAGGAGGTGTGCTTCTTGCCGTCCTATGTGTCCTCTTAAAAGGGAGAGGGGTCACGAGTCCCTTCTTCCTGGTGTGATGGGATGGCCAGGTGGATTCACTCGCAGCCAGAACAGAGGACGACTTCTGCTGTTTACTAAGTTCTGTATTCATGAGTGTATTTCCTCAATTCATGTCCTAATAAATTCCCTAATACTCCTTAGCAGAATCCCGTGGATTTCTCTCTTTAGTCCTGGACTGGATAAGAAAGCAGGCTGAACAAGCCTGAGGGGCAAGCCAGTGAAGAGCATTCCCCCATGGGCTCTGCTTCAGTTCTTAACTCTGAGTTCCTGCCCTGAGTGATGGAGTGTGACCTGAGAGTTGTATGATGAAATAAACTGTCTTCTCCTCATGTTGATTTTGCTCATGGAATTTTATCACAGCAACTGAAAGCAAGCTCGCACAGGGTTCCCATGCATTCCAGGCTGCCTTGAAGTCCCTATGTGGCTGAGGACCACCTCGAAGTCCTAATCTTCCTGCATACACCTCTCAAGTGCTAGGATTACAGGCACCCAGCTTCCCATACTTTTTCTTCAGTTACTCAATCTTTGCTGGACTAACACCAACCATCTAGTGAACCACCACCTGTTAATGGCTACAATGGGCAATCCTTTACACAGGCTATGGGGTTCACTTGAGACAAACTTGTGGTTCAGCCAGGCCCTGGAGCAGCTTGAATATACTCCCTGGCTAGTAGGGTTATAGCCTAGATGGAAGGAAACTCTGAATTTTTAAGATTTACCTGTCACATTAACACTGGAGGTCAGTAGAGGCACAGAGATGTTTCCACCTGGAGAGCCTATAAAAATAAAGAGAAGCATTAGTAAAGCGTACTGAAGATTCAACTTGGTATGAGCCCTCTGCCCTTCAGTGAAAGGTTTGGGGCTCCAAAGGGTATGCACACTGAAGCCAGCTTCTGACTGTTTTTGTGTGAGAGGTCAGAAAAGACACTACACCATGCAAAGACAGCATGGCCAGGGCTCTGAGGGAGAGTGCAGAATGTGTCCCGTACAGATGCCACCAGGTTGATGAGCAGTCCATTGTACATGCTTATAGTCAGGCTGTCTCCACTTCCTGGGCTGCAGGGGGGCGGGGGGGGGGGGGAAGAGGGTCTTGCATTTTGAAGGAACTGTGAGCTTGAAGAAAATGAGAGGCCCATTTAGTGCATGTATATCCATCATGCATATACTCCATGCCTAGTCAGAAACAGTGAGTCCTTAAGCCTGGGGCCTGTATGCAGATGAGGGGGAGGGGAACTCACAGCTGCAGATGGGCAAGGCCTGAGGATGGCAGTGGTATGGGGGAGGGGAGGTAATGCCACAGGAAGTTCTGCTTGTGCCACTGTTGCTATGAAACGTCCTGGAGCTGTCAGTGGGTTTGAGGTTGCATTGTTAGATCTTCCACACAGAACACAGCAAGCTTCCGTAACAAGCACTTGCAGTGCTCACTATGTGCAACCCGCTGGTGACGTCAGCTCTGTTCTGGGTGTTGTGGACCATCTTGGAAAGGCCCTCTTGTTCATGGGTTCCTCCTGGTCTTCTCATCACCAGCACCCCTAGTTTCACTCAGTGGAGAGATGATATTTGTAGCTCTCTCATTTTTCAGTGAAAATCTCAGTAGGACTTTTCATTTTTAAGCTAGTACCTTAAGATTTGGAGGGAAGGGGAGAAGAGAATCCTGTGCTCCAGGTGAGCAACTTTCAGTGGTTTACTTTGGAACTGGTAGAAAGACAACCCACGAGGGGAGTTCAGGTAATACTACTACTGTTCCGGTCACAGAGACCAGTCCTATTAAGGTCAGGCTGAGCCCTGCTCTAAGTCACTCCCAATGTAAAGAGACACAAAGGTGTTTTATGTTTCTGACATAACTCACTCCCAACAAACTCCCTCACTCAAAACAGAAATCCAAAACAAACCAAAGAACCTTTAAAACACAAAGACAGCAACAACAACTTTGAAATATTGACCAACTGACAAATCTATTTCTTATATGCAAATATCTTCCTCTGGATGGGACTATCATCCAGTGTGAGACGGAACTCAGACAGGACCTGATCAGTCCAGATGTACCAGTCCAGGCATCAAGCAGTGGCCAACAATATTAAATGCTTCCTCTCAGCCTCCTGGAAAGTCTATGGCAGGAGCCCTGTTCTGCAGTGACAGGAACTGAGGCCCAGACAAAGCTGCTCTGCTCATTAGTGAGTCTGGATGTGGATGGGGCTGATGAATTCCAAAGCCTGCAATACATCTATGTTCTCCTCTCCATCTTCTTGGTGTGACATCACCAACTGCTCCTTTCTCAACCAAGCCATCCTTCGGTTCCTCCCTCTTCTGGCTTCACTGTCCCATCTATTAGCAAGTGGTCTGTCCAAGACCCCACAACAAAGATCAACCTGTCTCAACTGCTGCATAAGCATCAATCACTGTCACTCCTGAGACAGTATTTAGTGGCAAAATACTTGAATGTTTAAACAGACATTCCATGCTTTCAGTTATAAGTTAATAAAAGTTATTTCATTCCCCCAAGGTTGTTGAAAGTCTATTTGTCATCTATCAAAAAATATTAACAGCCTGCCATCCTGCCTCCTGAGTGCTGGGATTAAAGACGTGTGCCACCAACCCAGCATCAGTATCATCATGATAAATTACTATTTTGGTATTTTGAGACAGGGGTGCTCTATACAGCCCTGGCTGTCCTGGTACTATGTAGACCAAGCTGGCCTGGAACTCACAGAGATCAACTTGCTTTTGTCTCTCAAGTGCTAGGATTAAAGGCGTGTGCCACCATGCCAGGCAGAATAATATTTGAAAACCAGAAGTTCAATGACATTATCTTCTGTTTTTCACAATATTCTGGACAGCATTGTGGAATGAGAACAGTAAGAGCTAACATCAGCTGATGTGGCCTGCTGATGAAATGGTAGAGTCTGGGCTCCGATCTGAAGTCAAACGTGTTACTTGTACTGTAAGTAAGTTAGCTTACCTGGAAGTCTCAGATTCTCAGCTATAAAATGGAGATGGTATATGAGTATCCTAGGGGTGATTTACAGTGCAGAACATGGCAGAAGATGTACCTAGCCAATATTAGCCACATCTCAGTATGACTGCTAAAAATCTCCATGTATTGTAATGCTGCTTATACCAATTACATGTTGCATGCAAAGACTAGACGAGTTATTTGGTTTTGTTGTATAGTTTTTAGAGATACGGTCTCCCTATGTAGCCCAATCTGGCCTTAAACTTCCTTTGAAGTGCAGGGATTACCAGGGGGCCTGGTCCTGTTGATTACTCACTTAACAAAACCTCCTTTTAGCACAGTTTGAAGGTGACTAGTCTATAGAACTAAATTCATTGGCTCTACTAGTTCATGACATCAGGGCATCAGAGCATTTCAAGTTTTCCAAATAGCACTAACCTCTCTAGTGAGACATTTATAAACAGAACGCAGTATCGAACAACAACAAAAATGTGTTCTGACAGCAAAAGCTAGAAGAGGGCACTCCACTCTCCTCTACTAACTCAGAGTAAACAGACTTATTTGTGCACACAAGGCAAGCAGGTGGAGAAAATGAACGAAAATTTCTCCATAAATGAAACTAAAAGCACACACAACACATGGACAGAACTGAAAACCACAAGCCTCTGGTCACTTAAAGCTACTCATCCTAGTTTACTATTTCCCTAGCGACTGGACTCTAGTAGGTAATAAGGGAAAACAGAATTCTCACAAACTCAGAGTTCTCAAAGGGTCCAAAAGGTCAAGGCCCCGAAGGGAAACAAAAAATCCCCTGCACAGAAGGCTGCCAACACATTTTGTTACGGCCTTAATGACGTCGTGGGCTCAGACCTGAAGGTTGCTGCGCAGGTGACTCGCAGCCCTCCCTAGTGGCCTCGGCCCCGGCATAAGCCTCACCTGCGCGGGGGGAACAAGGCGCGCACACCCAAGCAAGGCTCCCAGCCAGCAGCACTGGCCCTGGAATCCAACTTGTAGCGTCTTGGGGGACCTTCTGCTGGAAGCTGTGTGGGTATTCGAAAATCAGATCTGTTTCTGCAGCAGTCAGTGGACATATTTCAGTCTACAGGTCTTTCTACCAGCCACAGAACTCCAGGGAAAGGCTGAGTCCTCGGCAGAAGGGCCATCCCAGGAAAACTCAACAGGTTACCGGCACCACGCCGGCCGGCTGCCCCCAAGCCCGGAAAAGCCAGGCGGCCCCAGGACAAGCGGGAAACCCGCCCCAACCTCAGTTCCCCTCGGCCCGCGGAGTCTACGGCAGATGCGTGGAACTTTCCACGAGGACGCCGGACATGGAGACGCAGGCCGCCCCAGCGCGCTTCCTCTCCGCGGACCTACCGTCGGCCGCCGCCCCCGGCAGCGCCAGCACCTGCAGCGCGCCCAGCAGCAGCAGCAGCAGCGCGGCCCGCGCGCACAGCGCCATTGTTCCCAGGGCCCCTGAGCGCCCGCAGCGACCGCACGGCGCCCGAGCTGCCCTCCACGCACGCGACCGCTCCGCGTCCCTTCCGCCGCGTCCCGCTCCCCGGCAGCGCCGCCGGCCTCGCTGGTCCCCCCAATGACCAAATAGGGCGCGGGCCGGGCTGGGGCGGGGCCGGGGCGTGGTCCGCAATGTCAGGAGGGGCGTGGCCCACAGGAGGCGGGGCCGGGGAAAACTGCCGAACCAGAGGGGGCGTGGCTCTGAGAAGAGGGGCGAGGCTGAGAGGGCGTGGCCGAAGGAGGCGGGGTGGGGGCGTGGCTCTTCGAACCGAATGAGGCCTAGCCGAGAAGGGGCGGGGCGCTCGGAGGCGGGTGAGGGCGTGGCCTTTCGTGCGGGGCGTGGTCGGAGCTGGGTGCAGGGACCACGGCGCCCCTTTTCTCTGCCACTGGCTGGCAATGGTCTTGCCCGACGTCCGGAAGACAGGCTTTGTACAGAAGTTTTCCGGTGAGGATTGGGGCGTGTGCGGCTAGTAGCGAGAAAGGAAGTCGCAGGCTGGATGACTGCAGAGGGAGCCCCTCAGAGGAGTGTAGGAAGGTCGGACTCTTCCTAAGAGCTGACAAACTCAAGTTCCAAAGTAAATATCACGATCTTCATACTCCAGTTGCGCCCCCCTTTTTCCGCATATGTGCGGAAACAACTAGAGTGGGCGATGCGGCTCGCAGAACTGTTGGAAACTTTGCATCTATAACCTCGGACCCTCTCTGCATGGAGTCCGCTGACCTGTCTCAGGACAGGCTGTTGTGATCCAGTTTTTTGACAAAAATCTCTCTTAAGCCCCTAGAGCCAATGCTCCCAAAGACGGTATTTTGACTCCACTCAGAACTCTAAAATGGTATGTGACTGGTGTAGACTCCTCAACTAATGTCAAAGACAGATCCAGGGCAATGCAGCTCTCTCACACCTGATCCAGGACACTTTGAAGATAAGCTAAAAACATGGTTATGAGAAATACTTTTTTACCTCCAGCAAAGCTTATCGGTTATAGATGTGTCCTGATCATGGATTAACTGGTTGATCTGTTCTACATTTACAAGACTTATATCCGAGGTTGCAATCAGCCAACCCGAAAATACCGGCATCTACCACAGGCTTAAAAAAAAAAAAAAAGTTGTACGTTTAGGATTTGGTGGTTCTGTTTCTGAAGAACCTGGTCATGGGACTAACAAGTGCTTCCAGACATGGACTAGGAAGGAACGTTCTGTAGAATGGATGTTTGCCCTGACTCCGAATGTTGAAATGCAATGCCCCGCCCGGGTGGTGATATAAAGGTGTTGGGCATTGGGGAAGTGATTGGGTCAGAAGAACAGAGCTCTGAACAATGAAATTAGTGCCTCATGAAAGTGGCCTGAGGGAAATTTCCACACACACACCCCATCCCCATCCCTGCTACTACAAAGAAACAGTAAAAAATAGTCTATGAGACCAAGGGTCCTGAACAGACACCGAATCAGTTGCTGGCATTGCCTTGGACTTCCCAGCCTCCAAAACTGTGCCAAGTTTCTGTTATGTATAAATTATCAGTCTAAGGTACTTTGTTACAGCAACAAGAATGGATAGAGACAATGTGAAGACAAGATGTCTACTTGACAATTATTCCCGGGACTGACCTTGATGGAGGCTCCCCCAGAATGTCTGCTGCCTGATCCCCATACCATGATATGAATGGATGATTTGTTTCATTTTCAGGCAGGGTCTCACTATATAGTCCACAATGTCTTCCAATGCATGGCAATCCTCCTGCCTCAGCCTCCCAGGTGATGGGATCACAGGTGTGCACCACCGTGCTAGGTGCTTGCTTTGTTTAGTGATAGCTCATTGTGACCAAATCAGCAAAAGTTCTCGACATACCAGGGTGTCGACGACTCTGTCTTTGCTCATCTTCCCATAACAGAAATGTGAAGAGTGTCAGAATCAAAATGGAGTCATGTTAACCCTACCAAAAAATAAATCTGAAAAGTTACAAAGGAAAAGTACTTATACTAAGGAATACTTGATAGAAATCATCACAGAAGATTGCCAGGACCACAAGCTTGCACAGAAGCCACCAGAATCTTATCCAAAAAGTACTTTCGGCAAGCGTGTCTGTCCAGCAGTTTCACCTCAGACTGATGCCACTCTTGTTATTGTGGCAGAGGAAATGTTTCAAGATACTGATGCAGTCTACCCTATGTCTTTAAACAGGCCCCTAACTGGTGTAGCAGCACAGGCCTGTAATCCCAGCCCTTAGCAGTTAGAGACAGGAGGATTACTGCAAGTTCAAGGCAATCTGAGCTATATAGTGAGTTCTAGGTCAGACTGAGCTGGATCTATAGTGAGACCCTGTCTCAACCAAACCAGCAGCCAGGAATGGAGGCACAGTCCTGTGATCCCATCACTTGGGAGGCTGAAGGAGGATTGGGAATACATGGTCTTCTTCAGCTTTTAGCAAGTTTGAGGCCAGCCTGGACTACATCAGACCCTAACTCTATAAACCTGTCCCACATTGATCTGCCTGGTCCAAGATCTCAGCATCTAAAACCACGAGGTAGCAAAGCGATAGAGCATACGTGCACCTCAGGTCTTAAGGGTCCCAGGCGGCCATACCCCAGGAGTATGTACCTGAAGGTCATAGGCAGATGTAACAGCTACCTGCTACCTCACTAGGGGTGGTGCTTCAGGGCATGGCTCAGACAGCTCTCACTACATCTCCCCCTTTTGTCTAAACAAGAAGGTTCTAACCGAACACAAAACTACATACAATAGGAATGATTATTAAATATTGTCCAGGAGAAATAAAAGGTAATGACATAAACAAATGGAATTACAACCAACAAGTTCTTTGCCCAGCAGGCCGTTATGCCAGGAGGAAGACATGACATTACATCAAACAAGAGACACATACTAAATAAAATACAGAGATGTCCAGAGCATAAGTAAATGATATGTTAGAGAGATTATTCCAAAAGCTGTCCTATCCTGAAGAATCTGAATCTAGTACTTTATATGTTCTAGCTAAGATACAAGAAGATTGTAACTGTATCAAAGACCTGAGAAGGAATATAATAATACCTGAGAAACAGGAAATGCACGCAAGCAATTTTCAAAAATCTTTCAAGAGTAGACAAAGGCAACTGGCAGCCTGGACAGTCACCTAAAGATTCTCAGCACCTTTGGGGCATTCATTTTGGCTACAGGCCTAGAGTATCTAACAGACCATTTTCAGAAGCAGGAATTTTGAAAGACTATCTTACCCCGTCTTGGCAGAGTTCAGAAGTCACTTTCCCCTGTGTCCTGCTCATCCAGAAAGGACAGTGTTCGTACTGTCAGCAGTCGAGGCAAGGGCAGTTCTTTGCCCAGCAGGCCGTTATGCCAGGAGGAAGACAAACTTCCAAACCAAGTGTCTTAAAAGCCCGAATTCTCCTGGGATTAGATGGTGCTGCTAGAAGCAATCATGTCTCATGTCAACAGAATTATTTAAATGCCATACTCTCTAGGTCTATGAAGTGTTTGAAGATTACCTGTCCATCCGACCTCTGTATCTGTAAATCTGGACAATCTAACTAATATAACTATAGAGATGACAAGCATGGGTGACTATAAATCTCTAAGTCTTATCTACCTAAATAACCTAAGGACTAAGGCTTCATATAAATAAGGTGAACAGTCTGTAAACAAATGTACAGTAAAAGGACAATGACCTCAAAATTGTGACAATACATGAAATATCTTAAACAGAGATAGAAATGTATAGTGCAATATGCAATATGACAACAATATCCTTGATATGTATCAATATGCAAAATATCCTAAACATAGGTAGAACATACATACAGTATGATAAACATAATATTACATTCATATCAATATACAAGGTATTTCAAATCGGAGTAAAAATATATGTACAATACAAGAAACATAGTTTTGTATTTGTATCAATATACTAATTATCTTTTTTTGTTTTTGTTTTTGTTTTTTGTTTTTTGTTTTTTGTTTTGTTTTTCAAGACAGGGATTTTCTGTGTAGTTTTGGTGCCTGTCCTGGATTTCACTCTGTAGACCAGGCTGGCCTCGAACTCACAGAGATCTGCCTGACTCTGCCTCCCGTGTGCTGGGATTAAAGGCATGCACTACCACTGCCTGGCTATACTAATTATCTTAAATAGGAATATAAAAATAGTTTACATTTGTATCAATATACAAGAATCCATAACCATGCAAATTATTTAAGGCTGATAGTTTACTAAATTAGTTTACTAGTAAAACAGCAGGAAGCAATTCTAAGACGACGACACCCCTCTCCCAAAGGTTTCGTGTTTCTCAGGATTGTGGACGATGGTTATAGGGTTGGGGGTGGAACAAAAAATTAGATTGTTATTCTCCTTAAGAAAAGAAAAAGGGGAATGGATAGGTGCAGGATTTTAAGGTAGATTATTGTATATACTAGTAAGCTAATTTAGTAAACTAACTTTAGTCCAGTGGCATGATAGACACTGATGGGCCCCAATGAGGAGGTTAAAAGTGACTTGGGGTTAGAGAGATGTCTCCGTCATCGAGTGTCTACTGTGCAAGCATGAGGACCTGAATTCCAATGCTCAGCACTCATGTAAAAACTGGGCGTAGTGACAGATGCCTGTAACCCTAGTGCCAGCAGGGGCAGAGACAGGTGGCTCCCACAGCTTGCTGGCTAGACACCCGGTATGTTTCTGGTTCAGAGGGACACCATCTCAAAATAACTAAGTAACTAGATAGTAGAAATCCGTAGAGGAAGATACACAACATCTGGTCTCCACAACATGTGCACACAACTTTCACATGCACACGTACACTATACATACATACATACATACATACATACATACATACATACATACATGCAAAGTACTTGGTTTCTAGTTATAAAGAAGGTGGAAAGGGAACCTGGCAAATTCATGTCCATCACACCTACATTATGATTTACTTTATAACCATGAAAGTCTAGTATTTTAATCATTAATAAATGTAAAAATATAGGCTGTAGTTACAGGAAATTCTCAAAAATAATGATTTCATATACATTACTTTCTTGATTTTTGTTTTTGTTTTTGTTCCAAGACAGGGTTTCTCTGTGTAGTTTTTGGTGCCTGTCCTGGATCTCGCTCTGTAGACCAGGCTGGCCTCAAACTTACAGAGATCCACCTGGCTCTGCCTCCCGAGTGCTGGGATTAAAGTCCTGCACCACCACTGCCCAGCTCACTTTCTTGATATCTTTTTAATTAATGAAACATTTCATTGTTTTCAATAAGCATGCGAACTTGTTCTATTTAAATATAAAAGGGAGTCAGAGCAGTGGTGGCACATGCCTTTAATCTCAGCACTCAGGAGACAGAGGCAGGCGGATCTCTGTGAGTTCGAGGCCAGCCTGGTCTACAGAGCTGGTTCCAGGACAGCCAGAGCTACACAGAGAAACCCTGTCTTGAAAGAACAAAAAACAAAGAGAGAGTGAGAGAGTGGGGGGCATTTTATTATTCAAATTATATATTAGGTTATACTATTATACTATGGTAGTAGTATATATATATAATCATATATATTATACTATAATAGTAGTGAATCTTTGTTTTCTGACACTGCTAATTCTAATAAATATTTGTACAAGTATCCAAGATGATTTTGATTAACAACATCCCTTATAAAAAAGTGGAAGGAAAGAACCAGGTCTACAAAGTTGTCCTGTGACCTGCATATTCATACTCCAATCATAAAGAAAAAATGTAAAAATCACAATAAACACTAAAATATTCCTGAAGGACCAGATGTGAATTGCTTTCCATGCAGGAACAGCAGAGATTGCTCTTGTGATGATCATACAAAAGACACAAAGATTTTGTGTTTTCCCAGCAGAACTTGCTGTCTCAGTGCTTGTCTCAGTGACAAAGCAAACGTAGGAAGGCTATACTTTGGCCCACAGCTCTCAGGGCACGGTCTAGAGCGTAGGGAGGCCACATGTCCTCAGTCAGGAGGCAGAACCCATGTTCTCGCCCCTTTTAACTTTGATTCAGTCTAGGATCTCAGCCCAAGGGATGGTGCCACTCTTCAGGATGGGTCTGCCCTCCTTCTTTAAA